TAAGCATTATGTAAGTATGGGTTACTGTTCATTCTGCATTAGAGGGGAGCAGTGCTGTGTATGCTACGTAAATGACATCTGGTCAGTTTTCTAGTGGAGTAGAAGAAACATGATAAAGACAGGAGTTCAGGCAATTCCTGGTGTTTTGGTTGTTGTCACAGCTAAGGATTTTCTTTATACTGTGGTATCTGCCACATGGTCCATGTTTCAAGAGGAGTTAAAAGGGGCATGGCATGCAAAGCTTGACCTTCCCTGTTATTCAGATGCCTTTTCTGTTTTGTTCAGTAAAAGAGCATTTCCCTTGAGCAGAAAAATGGCATTCCCTGGTCTGAAGGAAAAACAGCTGAAACTGTAACAGACATTATAACTGTAAGGTTGACAAAAGAAAGTAGAAATTAGAATTTATAAAAATAAAGAACATGGATATGAAACAGGCTAGAACAACTAACAATATTCAACATAATTTCCAGGTAGGGGTGTAAAAAAAAAACCTGATTTGAATCAGTAAATCAGTCCAACGGTCTCTGACCGTAATGGAAAAAACCCCAAACCATTAAGTTAATGTGTTTTGGCTTTTTAATAGGTTGATATCGCAATGTAAAGGATCCTGATGGTTTAACAGGTGACTATTGGCTGACTCTAAATGCATTTGATAGTTTCCTAATGGGCTTTAAAGGTGTTCTACAGGAAATTAGGTTGGTATTGGAAACCATTAAGCCAATTCCCATCTGAAAACAAAACCATTACGTTTTAATAATGGTTTCTAGTGGCCCTTTTTCAGCAGGGTGATACGGTGGCATCGATTTATATCGTTAGATTCGATTCGAATCGAAAACGGAAACGACTAAAAATCGATACAGCCGTAGGATATCATCGATTCACGCCACAGTGTACTTCCCTGGCGCCCGCGCACCTGTGAGAGGGATAGAGAGAAAGGAGAGAGAGAGAGAGAGAGAGAGAGAGAGAGAGAGAGAGAGAGAGAGTGAGAGTGCTCCACCACCAACTGCGACGCACCACCAAGTCGTCAAAAGATCGGAAATACTTCGGACAAATCTGGACAAAAGCACTGCTGTGTGCAAAACTCGCAAAACCTCCATAAAGGACACGGCAGCACCACAAACCTTGCTACGGAGGCGGTACAGTGTAATGCTAACCGGAGGGAACCTCCCAGCTTCACCTGAAGATGATGCTCGCTGTCAGTCAACTCTAGCATGCATGTTGAATTTAACTAAACTGAAACATACTGGACCAGAACTGAATAGTATCGTCTCAACAATGAATCCAGGTCTATCGAATCATAACCTAACTCCGTCCTTTTGCATCGTATTGTACATTGTGTCTCGTCTGAAAGTGAAAGATTCACTTCCCTATTTCCAGGTGATTATTGTTACCCATGATGAAGCTGAAGGCCGCTCCCTTAACCTAGAAACCCACAGAGGATTCAAGGCTCCTCATTTCTTTGAAGGACTAAAGCAAGACCTTTTAAAGATAACCACATTTAACCAAAGGGAAACACAGGTTCATTTGTTTGGTTGGTTGTGACTGCTGAAGCTATGCTAAGCTAAGCTGAAGCTTTTGGTCAGAGCAGCTGAGAGGCCGAGATAAAGAAAGTGGAAAAAACAAAAACAAAGGTAGCTAACTGGCTATAGCGAACTGTTTTAACTGATCCGTATAGACTATGAAGTGTTCCTTAAAAATCAATACAATTTGGTATCAGATGCTCAAATGACTCACCAAGTCATTGATACCGAATTTTGTTCGCCTGCCGAAGATGTTTCAGTCGTGTTGGAACAAGAACGTATTTTTTCAATAAACCAGCCCAATTACCAGTGAAAATACGGAGCTGGACAAAGACTTTAAAATATTTACGTTTTAAACTTATTTCCAACAAGTCGCTGCTATCGAGGTAAGCAGAAATCCCGTCAGACTGCTCTGTATAATCTCAACACTGCTTTGAACGCTGTAAATCACAGGTGACTTCAGTGCTAATAACGTCCCTTGTGGAGAATGTTCAGACTGCCGACTCTTGGGCTTTATAATGATCTTATGTAATCGATTTTAATCGCGTAATTGTGACAGCCCTGAAAATAATTTCTCTTCAGTAAAATGAAATGTGTATTTGATGCTAAAAATGTGTGAAACCACTTTCATAGCACTGCTCAAAGCCAGCCAAGAAACATGTTTGAAACTATTTACCTATAAAACACTACTTAACAATAGAAAAAAATCCAAGTAAACATTAATGCAAGAATTTAACACCTACTCAGTGGCATTCAGCCATTGCCTGTCGCCAGCATGTCTGATTTAATTTAATGAAGCATTGATTAGCTGAAGGTGTTAGACAGTAATTACAAACACTGGCCTGCTTTGCGGAGAGGTTTAGAAGTTTAAGCTTTCACACGACACACATTAAATCAAAATAATTATGCATTTAAATAATAATGTATACTGGTAGCTTAACAAAAATTAGTACACTAGTCTTAATATTACCTAATATTACGCTAAAAAAAATCACTGGTATTGTCCATCCCTCATTACAGCACAGTGAAGGAAGCTGCTCAGATGCCTGTAAGTAGCAGGAGGAAGGTGAGGCTATGTCCTTGGTGGGGGGGTCAGGAGGGAGGGGCAATTTTTCTTTTCTGAAATCATACATGTTTCGGATGAACAGGATGATCTGACAGCATGAGCTAGTCTGATTTTTTTGGGCGTTCAGTTGCCAAGTCAAAGCAGGAGATCTCTGTGAAGACCCTGCAGGGAACACTTGTCATTTCCACTGCTTCTGCTGTTTTCAGCTCACGAAGATACAAGGCCTTAACTTTCTCTACCTTGTACCAGCGCTGTTCTCTTTTGTCAGTATATAAGATGTATTTTGTACACTACTATACAAAGCTTGAGTTTGTGAGTGAGGCAGCTCCTCAAAGAATACTGTAGTGCAACACACATTTTTTTTGTGTTCTAGTGGTAAAACGATGTCTGTGTCTGGCACAGAATTTTGAATACTGAATCACTGAATACTGATCTTTGTTTTAAATAGAGACAACAACAACAACGACAACAATAGTAATAATAATAATAATAATAATCTTTAATATTAATATTCTTATTTGTTGTTCATTTTCACCAAAGATTAACAAAAAAGAGCTTCATGGCAACCTTAAATGCAAAGGCCCAGTTTTAACCCAGTTAACGTGCTTCACAAGGGACTGGGATTATGTAACAAGCGTGTAGCAGTCGCTTGCTCTCAGCACTTAACACATCTTCAGGGCTGTTGACATTATTTTATTCTGCAAGTACCCCATTACAGCCTGCCAGTGATCTCTACATCCAGAGGCAGCACACTTCATACAAGATTCTGCGGCAAACTGAGCTAAAAAGAGACTCTGGTACATAGACATGCCAAGACTTCACGAGCACAGACCAGTTTATTTCACTTTGCATTTCCACAGAACACTTTCAGCACTTAGATACCATAACCTACAGCAGGAGACGTGAACACATCTAGATGTTGCAAAAAAAACAAGCTATGGTGGTTTTAAAGCTCATGTTTACATTCAGTGAATAAAAATAATATACATAGTTGTTCTTATAGTAATCTAACACTGATGAAACACTTGATACATGGTGAACCTTTAAGGGCAGGAAGCCAAATTAAATTTACACGTCTTTACATTTACAGTATAAATGTATGTAAATTTACAGTATGTGAAAATCTTGCATTTTAAGGTTCCCCTCCCCCAAAACATAGCAGAAACTAACACCAACAGTACGAGTGCAATGTGATGTACAGAACATGAATTAAAACTTTACATCAAGTTTTCTTCTGTTTGGCACTGACATTGCAAAGCAGCTGAAATGAGCAATTCAAATAACTTATTACACAATCCACTTACACGGTCCGTTGTATCTTCATAAAAAAAACAAACCATCATCTTAAAAAAACAAAACAAAACAAAAAAAAGACAGTTCTGTTCATTTATGAACTCAAAATATGAGAAGTATTCAAAATATATACAACTGTTTCATTCTCCCAAACAGACATTTAAAATAATGTTTTGGTAAATAGGGTTTGTTTTTTTTTATTTTTTTGTGTTTGTTTTTTAAAAGATCTGCTAACTATAATTCTGAAAAATCACATTAAATTTCTTTGCCAAGTGAGGTGTGAAGTTGATCTTTGCTCCGTATCAGGCTCACCAAATGACTCATCTTTGATTCATCAAAAAAAAAATGCAGTTTTAAGACTGCAAATAAACTGCTATTACATATGCAAGTCATTCAGTTGGTTCAAAGAAACTTCCAGGAAAATACAGATTAATAAACTGTTAAGTAACTACCAAATAATTACTGTTACTTCATTCTACAAAATAACAATTTAAAAGTGTAAACTTTCTCTCTGTAATGAATTTCTAAAAGAGACACCTGATGTTCTGTGAAAAAAATACTTCATACTTTTTCCTTACTGTATATTTACAGATTAACTCTTAAAGGGGAACTCCACCGATTTTTCAACATTTTCACATAATTGAACAGTTAAGGTATAAACAAAGTAATTTAAACTGGTTTGATGTGAAATGCTCTGCTCTTGTTCAGAGTGGTGGTGATAGGAACCAGATGCCTAGAGTTTAATGCCTCTAAAAGCTCCCTTACAGAAAGCCTATTAAATTTGAGTTAAGTCATGAAGATGCTGATGCCTGAGACATTGTTTTATGATAGTTTTGAGGTACAATTTTGGCCAAAAACATATTTATAATAAATACATTCATTGTGGAGAGGTACATGCAGGACAATGTAAGGCAAAATAGTCCCCAAAAGAAACTTATTTTTTCCAGATTTACCACTATTTTAACAATATCAACATTGCATATAAAATGCAGGTTCACTGGTCATTCAGGATAGTAAATAAAATGGCTATATTTGCTTTGTAGACATCGCAACCCCTGGATCCTATCACCACCACCAAGTCGGAGTTGGTAAGTTTCTCTAGAACAGAGCATTTCTTATCAAATCACTCTGAAGAACTTTGCTTATATTCCAAAACTGAATAATGCAGAAATTTTGAAAAATCTGTGGAATTCCCTTTTAAGCAAAAATACATAAAACAAGGCCACTTTGTACATAATGAAATTGAAATAGCACATAAACTGTATATGTCTAGAATAAGTACCACATGAATTGTAAAAGACAAAGAAACGTTGAAAGATAAACACAAATGTAATGATATGATTCCTTTATAAGTACAAGAGCCTTTTGGATGCTATTAAACTAAACTAACTCAGCATCATTCTTTATGAGCTGCAGTACTTTGTGGGAAATGTCTTGAGTACTGGGCTTGAAAATAAACTAATAAATAGTCTGCAGATGTAACATTGTGCCATGACTACATTAAAATCCGGTGAACTATATTCAATAAAAGACATGCACATATATAAAACACAAGTAAAAACCCAAAGTTAAAATAATGCTATTTCAGGGGCATTCAGTGAATCAGTTATTCACTGTGGTTTGTCCATAACCAAGCCACGCAAGGTCAGTAGTTCCTCTCTAAAGAAGCCAAGGTCATTCTTGTGTTGACTAAGATAATCTCAAGTATAATTAAATTAAAATTGATGGGCCATATAGTGAGCGAATGGCTCAACCAGTCTATAAACCTTTTGATTAATAGGGTCGCCATCACATGACCTGAAAGTAGGCATCAATCTGCCTGGCACGGTGGCGCGAGATGATCTCCACGATGGAGATGTAGGTCCCAGCCACAAAGCCCACCAGGCCAAAAACACTGATGATGATGTTCTTGAGCACTATCCAGCCTGAGAGGCCCTCTGAGTGGAAGGTGACAACTTGGAGGAGAGGAGGCAAGATCAGCGCAAGGGCACTGCTGCTGACTGACCCTACCAAGGAGATCACGAGGTCCAGCTCTGGAATCAGTATGGCCAGCGCACCTGCAGAGACAGAGCAGAGGGATAAAGTCACTCTTTGCTTTAACTCACTGATTAATCCCTTGAACTCTAGGCTTATAATTCCGTTCATCATGCCCACCCGCACCCGTCAACCTTGGCCTATGGTTCTCGTCTGCACCTGTCCGTGTTTAGCCTTTGTAATCTGCACCACTGGCATAGGGCATGCCCACCCACTTTGTTGCCCACCCACTTTCACAAGCAGCCCATAACTGCTCAAGGCAGCCCCACACAACCACGAGCCCGAAACCTGCTGGGACTGCAGAGCCTCAAAATTTAACCCCCCAAAAAAATCAACCTCTAGCACAAAACCTGATACTGATTTTGAGATTGCATCACCACCAGAGTTAAGGGATTTTGGCAAAATACACAACAGATCAAAGAACTGGAATCACTTATATTTTATAATCACATATTTATAATCATTGTAATTTTCTATAGAAAAAAAAAAAGTGCATTCAAATATTAAATAGTATCAAATATTTCAGATATTTTATTCAATAATTCAAGTTTAAGAACAACAAGAAGTCTTTAAGTGATAAGTAATATACTGTAATTATTTATTAAGAATATTTGTTAAATCACTGGCCTCAAAATTTAACCACCACTTGAAATACAAGGCATTCCAGATATTCATTTGTTAATTATGACTCCATATCGATGTTACACAGCTTTCTAAGTCATTTTAGAATCATAAATAGAGTCATATGCGGAAGTTTGGATGTTCCGGGTCCAATGACATGTTTTGTTATTTTATGAAAATAATTCAACACACCTTCTACAGAGAACACACTTCTGCACATTTAAATACACATTACTGTTTATTTGGAGAAAATTAACATACTGGGACACAAAAAAGGAGCTATGACACATTTTATCACATTTTTTCCCAATATGTTTAACTCAGAATTGTGCACTAGAATTTGCAGAGAAATGTCATAATTAGTGTATCCTCTGTTGAGCAGAGGTTCTCAACCTTTTCCACCCCAAGGCCCACCTGTTCATTCAGCTTTTCAGGTTTTATAAATGCAGTTTTCTTTTTCCTTTCTTAAGTGCTGACACAGAAAACCTGAGGATTAGGGCCTGAGAAAGATCAGACCGGTTCAATCACAGAAACCAAAATTACAATTATGTTAAAAACCATAACATGTAATGTACATATATATACCACAGAAGTAACTGTTTGGCTCGGGATGTCTCTTTAGTTTTGATGGTTCTTGTGATTCATCTGAATCTTCACCATTATTTTAAGGCTTGTCTGTCGTTTTTAACAGCTGCAGCTCCAGCTGCAGGAAAGACATGAGAGACGATGAGAGTCTGTAAAGAGTCAGACGTTAAAACAGGCAGATTATACTGACTGAACGTTGCTGAAAGGGCTGCTAGAAGAGAAGGAAAGCAAGCTCTATTGATGAATTCCCTTGTTTGATCACAGAACGGGCTTCAATGAGCAGTGAACTGAACCAGGGTTTGTTTGGAATGGGACCAAGACTGGTTCAGCTGTTTGTTGCAGACCCAAATATAGGTGGAATGTTCATACATATCAAAACGAAGCAAACTAAAGAAAAGGTGTGATGGGTCATCACCAAACAAGGAAGGTGAAAGCACCCTGAGGAACTTCTCTGGTGCACGCCTGTGGCTGCATTGTCTCACATTTAATTAAGTTTAGTTAAGCCTGCTACTGTGATGTTTTTTTTTTTATTTATACATCTCATTATACAACATTAATATTTCTATTGGTTATAATTTGAAAACACTTGATTCTTAGATTTTTAATTATTAAGTTAATCTTTTTTTCCACTTATGTTTTTATGACTTGAGGTGATGTTAGTGGGTCAGTACGAACTACCGCCTCAGCCTAAGAACAGGCCTGCGGACCAGTAGAGGGTGCTTCACAGTCCACTAGTGGTCTGCAGCCCACAGGTTGAGAAACCCTGCTGTAGAGGACGTGTTAACTTCTTATTTCTACTTATGAAATCAACCAAACGTGTCATTTAACCAGGGGTGTTCAAACTTTTGCATACAAACCTCACTAAAAACAATCACAGATTCTGGTTCCATGAGGCTTTAAGGCTTTTGATCCAGTGTAAAATGATCAGTAACTACTATTAAACTATTATGTATGTGACGTAGTTATGAGAGTGTGGAAATGTAGTCTGAAATGACGGGTGATTACAGTTAAAGGAGTTAACTATGAAATAGTGAACGTCTGTCTGAAAAAGTTCAACATGCACAACACTGATGACTGCTTTTCATGTCTGCTTGGAGCAGGACAGCGCTTGTGCTGGGCAGGTTGCTGGGGATGGGTCATCTTCATCTGCTGCTAAGGTGACTGAATGAAATTTGAGTAGGCAGCCCCAGTAAGTTGCCTCTGTTGTAATGCTGTTCCTCTCCAATGTATCATTCCTATTCCTCATGCTGTGCACAGCAGGAAAAACAGCAGAACTACCGAATCTTCAAACGCTCACGTTGCAAAGTCTTGTCCGACACACATGAACACGCGCTCCACTTACACGTTTGCTGTCACTTACAATTGCTTTTGGATGGACTGTAAAAGACTCGTCGAGCAAGTCGGACACACATTAAGAGCGGCTGATAAAAGACGCTTTGAACCATTACTCTATTGCCTGTGTTCGATTTCAGAGAATCTGTCAAATTAACCTAGAAGGGGAAAGGAAGGTCAATCTTATGTGGCCACTCTAAGGCACTGAGAGCTAACAGATCAGCCTGCTTCAAGCATTTTCCTGTTGTGTAAGGGGGTCTTGGGGCCAAATTTTATGCTCATGGGCTTCAAAAAAGACAAATGGTCCACTGGACCAAGGTATTGACCACTTTGAAGATTTGTCCACAGCACAGCTGGTGCACTACAGAGCACAGCCAGGTGACAGAATCCCCTAGAGGGCAAGAGAAAACAGAATAATCAGAGTTTAAAGCAGGTGGAAAGTGAATTCAATGGAGGGACAACTGCAAGGCCAACAAACGGGACAAATGCATTATGACTGTCATGGAATACTTGGGAGCGTAAGCATGAGCATGCAGAGGAAATGACTCACGTGTTGTTGACCACAATAAGCAGGTGGGAAAATCTGGAGAGCTCCTTCAGCTCTGGAGAGCACTCTTCTGTATGAATCACATGCCTTTCCCACAAATATCATTGCAACAACAGGGAGAACCGAGATCAATCCACATTCATATCTAATCAACAAGGGTCTGAATTTCTCTCAAGAGAAGAGAACACTCTGAAACCTCTTTTGTCTCTGTAGCCTCCTTAATCAGCTCGCAAACGGCTCACACGTCTCACATGTTTAACAGGATGGTGAGACAGAGACTGAGCTTCCTTTTATCCATAGCTGTCTATCTGCATTTATCAGTGCTCTGTGATCTGTCGCAATTTCACATTCAAAGGACCTTCAGCCTGCTTTTGGCTTCTTGGTTTGCGAGACTCAGACAGCAGCTGGGGCTCTCGTCGCCTTATCTGCTTTCTCTTTTCTCTCTCTGTTATGCGGTTTTGTGGCCAGTTCAGACTGCGGCCACAGATGCACCGACTGAGCTCTATGGCGTGCCAGAGTCAGCCGTTTTATTCTGGCTCCAGCTGCTGGGAGGTCACTCCTCTACGCTCAGTTAGGAATGGTTTGTACATCATTCTTTGGTATATCAAGAAAAGCAGCATCTACCATGGGAATTTATAAAAAAAAATAAAATAAAAAAAAAACAGCTTTTGACTGGACAGGCCCAGCCCTCCTACTTATTAGCAGGACATCACTCACAGCACTGGATCTCACTAAGTTCCTCTCATCCATTTCACAGCTTGGCTAACCTTGTCGTGTCACTGTTGCACTGTGTGAAGTCAGCACATCTTTTCGCTCTGCCGGGGAGAGGAAGAGAGAGAGATCTCTGCCAATTGTGGTGCTTCTAGATTAATGAAGTCTGTTCATGCTATTTTTGAAATGACAGTCCCAGCAAAACAAGCATTTGATTTGATCAAGCTCCAGATACGACAACTGCTGAGGAGTGTGACTAGAACAAAACTGTTGAACAAATGAGGATGGCCAGCCTAAATGTTATTTTATAGGCCAGTTTCTGGGACCCAGATTAATCTTAAGCCTTGACTACAGAGTATGTAAGTATAGTAATTTCTCCAATGGGGATTCACCATTGGTTATGCAATTTAGTCCAGGACTAGGGTTAATCCATGTTTTGGAAACTAGATCTAGGCCACAAACAATAGACAAAACTGGCAAAATTACATCTTTTGTTGATTTCTGAACTGAGAAGAAGTAAACACGACCGCTACAGCAAACTATTTTAAACGTTTTTCTTTACACAGCCTGCACAGTCACTTTTTATTTGTAGAAAAATCTTTTAAAAATCGTAATAATGTCATTTGCAAAAGTTTTAACACCCTTTCAGTTGTAAAGTCTCAGAACTTAATTAACTCGTTAGGTCTTAATCAAATTGTTAGAGCTGGCTAAGCACGTCAAGAATTGTCACTGACAATTCCGGAGCATGACAAATACTCTGACTCTTCAAACCTTGTGGTAGCACTCAACAACCATGGACGATTTTATGCAGCTGACTGCAATATGCGCTCACAGTGCATTTGAAATTAACGTGCAGTTTGCCGAGGCTACACAAAGTACTGCAAACTGCGCACAGAACGCCTGCTAACTGCATGTTCTTGATGTGCTGGGTTTAAAAAGTGCTGCAAACTGGGGCTGTCAGCAAGCTCGAGACAAAGTAAAACATTCAGAAAGTTCAGTGACTATGCAAAAGCAGTGTTAATAAATGGAGTTGTCACCAAAACATAGGGATGTAATTGTACTACACATAAAAAAGTAGCATTTATGGTGACTGCATGTGCATATTATGCCACATCATGGTACATTTTGTGCTCCATCTTCTCTCACACACACACGTCAACTTCAGAGTTGAAAGTGTTATTTTGATGGTAAGTACTGTCTTAGTGTGTGTTTGAGGCTAATGCCTCT